ATCTTCTAGTGTAGCATTCAAGGATGGAAAATGCACTTAGTGGATTTTAATTTGGTAATTTTTATTTCAAAACATTTTAAAATATTATAGTAATCTTAAAATTGCATCTAGTATATTTATAGATACTCCATAAAGTGCTGAGACATTAATTCAATAAATTTTTTAGTCTGAATTTTATGGGTCAAGTGGTAGAGAATTTAGGAGCTAAAATTATAATTTTAAAGAATAGATTTAGGAGGTAAGATTATAATTTAAAAGAACGTGAGTTTTCTTAAAGATTTTTTAATTAATATATATTAGTACCTGTTTGATCGTTATAATTTATAATGAAATGGTCATTAATTACCCAAACAATAAAGATAAAAACTGTCTTGCTATAATTCTATGAAAGTTGTAAAGCCACCAGATCTTCACTTCACCATTATTGTAGATCATTAAAAGAGCTTGGCGTGCTCATCCCTGTCCTGAGGACCACATGGGGGAGGTACTGGGGAGGCATGGCACCTATACGTATATACAGTAAATAATAATGAAACACTTGATGTCCATTTAATCACATAGGTCTGAGGGTAGGCGGTCAGCCGTCTAGCCTGGCCTCCACTCACAATGCATGTATCATAAGTCAACTCCTTCAATTCCTTTGGTAATGGTGCCTTTCCCAGCTCCCCATTCTCTAATGGCAATAACACCCTGTTGTCCTGTTTATAAATAATAATAGTAAAAGAAAAACGTAAAATCAGTCCATTTAATGATGTAGGAATTAGGATCTTCCATCTCTACCAAAAGCCAGCTAAGTCAATTTGCCTTCTCTAAGTTTCCCTGGCATTATAAGAAATGTACATAACAAATCTCATAAAACAAAGTTAAGAAAGGAGAAGCTTCTACAAATGTATGTAAATATTTTAAAATTTTTCATAAAAAATAATTATTATTTATTAATTTTTTAGAAAAAATCATGATATTTCAACATTAAAAATATCAAAATGTTTATTAATAATTTAAATAATTATTCACTAAAAGTAAAATATCTTAAATTTAAATCATATGGTATATGGATAAAGTGAGATAAAATATAAAATATAATTATTTTTTATTATTTAATTAAAACAAAAAATATATATAATATAATATAAATTTTATTTTTATTAAACTTATTATGCGCATTATTATTAGATAATCTTTTTTTTAAATTGCCTTTGCACGTGCACTGACTCCGAATGCGTTTCCAGTCATCAAAGAATTCGTATTTCCGCAGCATTCTATTCAAGAATACGTGTGGTGTAAGAAAATACCACCTTCGTTGCTTTGAGTTGCTTCCGTTTTACACAGTTGTGGCATTCCCATAGTTCCTTCCGTTGATTCAGGGCAGTTGGGGAAAACACGAAAGTAGCATACAGCGCGTGAGACGCAAACGATCGGATGGCGGGTTTTAGTAACCCGGAGGCTGGGAGGTACACGCGGTTTCTGACAGTTGAGTTTGTTCGGGGCCCACCACTTTTAAAAGTTTCCCTTTTGTTTGCCGTTTGGTACGACCGCAATAAAAACACAACATCGTTATTTACAACAAAGTGAAATAGATGTTTCTGGCAGTGTTGCATTGGTTGGGACTTAACGGAAAGGGAAAATTATTTTTTTATCATAAGAAAAGTGCCACCCCCTTTTATTTTAAGGTTTGTTTAATATGTATTTTAAAATTATAAATTTAAAAATAATAAATATTTTTTTATATTTAATTTATATAAAAATAATTAAAATTAATTTTTATTTTAATATTATTATTACGTAAATAATTTTATTTAATTAATTAATTAAATTTAAATTAAATTTTATTAATTTATATATTTATTAATTATGAAATATGTATTTATTACACTTTTATCATGTACTTTTAAAAGCACTAAAAGATTTCTTTTAAAATTAAAAAAAGAATAATTTTAAAATTGTAACTATTTTAATACATTTTTATCGAAAATTTAAAATATTTTTAAAATGAAGTATGATAAAAAAATTATATTTATCACTTCTAATTAGTGTTTTAATCTTTTTTTTGGTTAAAAATTTAAATAATTAAATAATAATTCATTTATAATAAAAATATAAAATTTTAATTTTTTTTATTTTAATTGCACGATGAGAGACAATCATCTCTCATATTTTATCATATCCTACTTATATTCCATGCGACTCGAATTTCAAATTTTTTATTTCTAACGAAAAGAAATTATCATTGAATTATTTAAATAGTTAACAGATCTTAATTTTTAAATTACATAATAAACAATACAGTAAATTAAAAAATGTAAAATAATTATTTATTATTAAACAGTCCAAAATAATTTTTAAAAAAAAGTCATTCTTTCTTGACTGTCTTGTATATTTGGTTTAGAAAATGCTTACAACCAGAGTCAAATTATTAGAGCCACAGGAACTTTTGTTTTTCAATTTTTTTTTTTATAAACAGTTAATTATGGTATTTTATACGAATAACAGAAGACAACTTCAAAAACTTACTCGGTTTAAACGAGAACAAAACAGATAAAATTGGGAAGCCACAAAATCACGTTTTCAACGATTTTGTGAAGAATGAATGCAAAGCCAAAGCTCAAAAGGGTGAGACATAAATTCCAAAAACATTATCACGTGAAGTGAAAATCATGTTGCATTTCCAGAACCAGATGGTTAGTGTAGTTTGTTTTTCCACATAGAGTAGTTGCAACGTTTCTGAGAACCACCTGGAATCTCAGATAAAAGAGTGACTTTCTCTACAATAACATTGCCATTCTCGTCAATTCTGTAAGCGAAGTCCATTCCTTCTATAGTCAGGTGATAAATTATGTATCCGGAAGGTTGTGCCAACTCACTACAGTGATCAGAAGCTTCTTCGTCTTGGAAATCATCAAGGTCTGAAGCATTATCTTGGACACTGCCATTTCCATTTTCTATCTTTGTGAAGGTATTGTGGGGTCGATTTCGCTGAGATGATGACCGAATATCCCAAGAAAGGATCTGCTTGACCAAGGTTTTGAGCTCGTCTAGTGATGTGTAGAGGGATTTCTTTTCCTGAAAGAAACCAAATGTAGAGTCACCCAAACCATTGAAGAGCTTAAAAGAAAACACATTTTGATGCAAGGGAACAAGTTTAGTAGATTACAATTAATATAGTAATTAGATACATGACAGCACCTCTCCTTCATGTGTTGATCATTGAACACTGAATGTAATATTTACCAAATAGAAGGTCGAGATATAGAGCTCAGAATTGAATAAGTAATAATAACATCAAAATGATGTGTCCAGGCATCTAACAACCATGAGGTTGCTTATAGAAATGAATATGACAAGTTGCCAACATGCAACAAAGGATAAGATGACTACTTCAAGTAAAACGTAAAAGTAAAAGCCTTGCAGAAGCAATTGAATCTAAGAGGGATTGAGTGCAATTCACCCTTGTAATTAGGTATTATATAATTAAAAGATGCAAGTGTGAAATACTTTAACATAATTTAACTTACTGCTGCTTTCCAGCAATCTGAAAGTGAGGAAAAGAAGTCCTCAGAGAAGCTTACAGAAGACACTGCCAACATATTGTCCACCTGAGCAACATTAGACAATGCTTCAGTACAAGAAGAAGTGCTGATATACCATTACATGGAAAAATTCAGAGTTTGTGTGGGGGCAGACCAATAGAGCCCACACACTTCAAAGGATTTGGGTTTGGGCTGGTCATTTCAAACCTATTCTGAACCTGAGGCTACTGTCAGTTGGAGGCACAAAAAAACAGTTAAATATAAAGGGCTATATTAGCAAAGATCAGCAAAACTTCCTTTTTTCATGTAATCTTTTTCTAAACAACGTAATCATACATGCTTCCAAACTAGTTTAAGACCAATTTTATCACATAGAACCAAAGCATAGCTGCAGTACATCAGGAATTGACAGCAAGGAGATATTTCCCATAGGAAAAACACCCAACCAATAACCAAGTGTAAGGAGCTTCTGAGTATGGCTGATCCAAGAGATCCATACATCCGGAAATGCTATAAATCATGTAAACGTTAAAGAATAAAATCATAAAGTGAAGATCCATGAGCCATGGCAACCCTATATCTTACAAGCTGGCTCAGAATTGCTAAGAGAGAAGAGAAATCCTGACTTCTATGGAAGATTGTTGAAGGAAAAACTAAAACTTTGTATCATCTACTGCAAAGAAACTAAATATCAAACCATTCAGGTTAAAAATCACTATAGCATATTGTTTTCATCAAAAATAGGAAAAATCTGGGAAGCTAAAGCCATAGGCCATACCATTACCCAGTTTGGCACCAGTGCTCCTTCAATACTGTCACAATAAGGTAGGTAAGGTTTGACATCAAGAACTGGCTGTTAATGAAATCCAATAAAGGAGAAGAACTTAATAACAAATCCAGCAAAAAGCAGAGTTTATTGATTGTGTAATGCAACCTGGCTAGTTAAGCCAAGCAAATAAAACTTACTGTCCCGTCAACCAGATCTACCCCAGAAAGTAGAAGCATATTTCCTTGGACTGCCTCCACCTGAAAGACAGAGTGCAATGACAAAGCATCAATGGACTGTATTTCTGAAAAGTTTTTAACCATCTTTACCCAGTTTAGCTTGACATCAGGGCTGTGGATACCATAGGTGAACTTTCTTTTGCTTGTAAAGAATCCTTGTGATGTTTCTGACCTTTGCAACAGTCAGTCCTATAGGACATGGCCGATGTGGAGATCGAGTAGCAAAGACTCCCATCCTTCCACCTTTCAGTCTTGGGACTCTCACCTATTATAAGTTTAAACATGAAAAGAAATGATTGTGAATGTAAGCAAAAATTAGTAAATCTACCAGAGTACCCCCAACACATACCTTGGCTTTGAACTTTGATTTAGATGGGTGCTTCCATAACTTCTCCAGATCAGTATTCAAATGAAATACATATATGATCCAACAATGAGAATATTCTTCAAGACCCTCAAGGGATGCAGGAGGGACTCTTGCTGAATCAAATACCAAACATGCTCTAGCAAGAGGAACAAGTAGAGGTTGCCTGGGTGTCCCATTCCTGAACAATGCAAACTAGTAATTGTTAATTTAATATTGATCAAGTGCTCTGCATGTATAACATGAAGCAAATTGCAGCCAAGCTTTGGCCAAAATCTTTGAACAGACCACTAGACAGATTCATCAACAGCTACAGACAAGCAAAAGTACTGTATAGACTACTGATTTTTCTGTGAATTAACTAATACAATCTTCATTTCTTAAGACTATGGGAGGAAGAAATGGATTGTACCTTGAAGCACCCCATAACAGTGATAGGTTGATTGACAAATTTGCTTAAATCTTAAATACAAAAAGGATACATTAAAGTCTCTGTAGACCAGCATCAATTTCTTTTTAATCTTACAAGAAAACATTCAATTTTTTTGCTTTCAATATCCTTAGAATTTTTCTCTTCTATATTCCTTTAACACATGAAAATCCAAGGATTATCATCAATTATCCCCAAACACCCTATCCATTGTTATTTCAAAAATGAGGTTATGTGGTCTACCTATTCTATCCAAACACTTGGTGATTTCAATGCTGGTCTTTAACAATTTAAGGTTCATCAATAGCAATCATGAAAATAATTGGTCAGCCTAGCACTTTTGGCAATAATACTCGTAGTAACAGATAACAACAATAGCAACAACCAAGGCAGTGACAAACCAAAAAGATGGAAAGAAAATGAGTGAAGACAAGTAATTTCGATTACCACAAATAGCCACCCAAATCACCTTGTAGAGAAGCATGACTGGATGACACCAATAGGTGCCATGGGGTATGAAGTCATCTCTAAATTTTCCAACTTTGGTTCTGCCAGTGCTTTCCTCAAATCCTACAGATGTTAAAAATAATGGGGTAGCAGATAACATTAAAAATCTCATTGTTTGATTTGTCAAATAGTTCTTCCCAGGGTAGAGAGGTACATACAATAAACAGAATTATGTTAAAGAACTGAACTACAAGTTTCCTTTGAGTAGAAGAAAGATGAACCTGCTGAGCCCTAATACGACCTTGCCTCTCGGCAGCACATTTCTCCATGGCAGAGTTGAGAGACTTCTGAAGCTCTTTAACCTTTGAACTTTCATATCCCCATTTTCTCCTCCATAAATAAACTGAAAAGAGTTCAATTCAACATTAATACATCCACGAGTATAACCAAAAAAAAAAAAAAAAAATGAAAATCTTACTGGAGATTGCAGAAGAAGCAGAAAAAACGGCGGCAAGTGCCAAGGCTAATGTCGTCGGCAGGTGCTTGTACTGTCCGTCGATGGCCATCGGTGTAGCTTGATGTTTATGCAGTCAGGTAGAAGCAACAGTCGGAGTTGAGTTGAGTTCCCGTTTTGTCTTCCCGCCGCCGGCTGGCGGCTACTTGGTTTGCTGTTCGCTTTGCCCCAACGCCGGTCAGACACAGAATGCCTAACGATCAGTTTAAGGCCCAAATCTTTAGCCCAAGCTGTGTGGGCTTTTTGTTTTAAACATGGAAAATTTGGGCCGCATGACTGGATTCTCATCAAAGTAGGGTGAGTATTGGCTATGGCATGATACTTATTTATTTAAATATTATACCTAAATTATAAAAAGTTGGGTAAATAATGAGTATAAAAATAATATATTTATAAATATGAAATTAAATAATAAATATAAAGATTTAAAACTATTTATTTGATTTGTTTAATTTACTTATTTATTTGACTTGTTATTTATATTTATATAATTAAAATTTTATATATTTTTATTGTACTTAATATTTATATAATAATAATTTTAAAAAGTCAAAATAATGTAATACAAAAATAAAAATAAAAATAAAAGTAAAGTAAGACATATGAGTTAAACAAATTACAAATACATTAATAACAACTCAAATAAATAATAAATTCTAAACTAAACATACGATTATGTACAATAATAACAATTGATAAAAGACTTTTTTTTTAATTAAGTATATAAATGTATACTAATAAATTAATTATTATTTAT